GGTCATAACATGGGTTCACTAATGGACCTCAATATTTCCTTCCCTAAAAATTCCAAATCCTGACCCCAGAGCATTTAAATCCTTAGTCTCACTTCATATTGCTCTTGAAATCCCACTGTGTCAGGCTTTAAAATGCACCAGTCCAAAAACTGGATTAAATGTGATGATGTCTTTTAAGGAATGAACCCGATTTCAATTACAGTAAGTGGAGTCGCAGCCGACTGGCCATGACATCACTAATTATGTGATCAGTGAAGTGCCAATAAATATACTCTCGGCTGCTCCCCACTTGAAATTTTATAGACCCTCCTCTGCCCCAACTACAGTCCTATAAAAAGGATCTAATGTAAAACCCCAAAATGTTACATGTCTCTAACGCACAAGAAAGCATGTTTTTATTAGTTAAAAATTAAATTAGACAGCAATTATACGGAAATGCCTTTGATGCAGTTCTCCAAAGGTCAGTCAGAAAAATAATATTCCTAAGGTACGTTTTCTAAATCTTTCTACTTGCAAAAAGGATCCCTTGAAAGCGTTTGTTTTGCTTACCTTCTTAGTCCAAACTGTTTTTTTAAATTTATCATTCAAAAATGTTATGTTCACTCTTCTGTTTGACCATAATAAATGTAATACAATTTTTAAGTTTTAAATTTACAAATATAAGTTTCAACAACTTATATTTTCAAGCATCGTGGTAAAATAAATAGATCAGACCCGGATTCTTAATTTGGCACAACGTGTATTTAAAATATATGATTTCTTTTGGACTGAACTTTTTAAAACGAACTACTACTGACAGGAGAATGTATAAAATGAGTTTAGACCCAAACAATTTTACTTAAGAGTTTGTTTAAATGGGATGACATTTGCCCTAGATAGTTTTCTGAAATCCCTGGAAAACCATTTTGAGCTCATTGCAGAAAACCTAAAATAAATGAGTTTGGGATTGTTAATCCCTCTTCAAGTGGACAAACTATTCTTGCAGTGAGCATTAACTTGGCAATCACCCATATCAAAAGCTCCCCTGAGGACAATTGTTAGAATTGTTAATGCACTGCAGGAGGCTAGGGAGGGAGGAGGTGAAAGGAAACTCTTCTGAAGCTGAAAAAGGGAGAAAGGATCACTTTAATTAGCATATAATGAACTGTATATATTGTGATTTTAAAATACATTTCTCATTACTTTATGTGAAATCACAATGCATGGCCTTCTGCATTAGTGGTTCTATATATTCACATTAAGTTCTCAGCAATAAGGGAAGAAAAAGCCATCTAAATTTACCCAAGACTGCACTTTAATTTTACAAGTTTGAAATGCGCATTTTACAATTTAGCGTAATAAAACCCCTGAATAGATATATGACCTCAATCTCAACTTTCCCTTCAACTGGATACTGGTGCAACAATTTCAGTCAATGCCATAAAAATTAACTGTGCAGATTATCTGCATTATGAAGAATAGCACAGAACAGTTTCACAATTGAATTTATTGATAATAATAATAATAATAATCCTTGCATTTGATATAGCGCTTTTCACGTCGGGAGGACGTCCCAAAGCGCTTCACAGAACACACTGTAAAGTGAATCGACTGTATATTTGTGGGCGAACGCAGCAGCCAATTGCGCACAGCAATGTCCCACAAACAGACGTAGATTGAAAATGACCAATTTATTACTGTTTTGTTTTTTTGGAGGGATTATCATTAGTATCAAACTGTCGAATTAAAATATCCTATTGCTCTTGTAAACTCATTAATATTAGTTTAATTGGTAAAAGCATTGCTGTCTCACTGGTTTTACAACCACTTTCTTACCCACCATCCGTAGGATTGCAGATTGCCATTTGTATTCCAACAAAAATGTTACAAACAAATAAAGATGTGAATCAGTACTCATCAATATGAACTGAACATGCCACTCGTTTATATTGCACGCAAAAATGTAAGTACTAATTTCAAATGTTATTTTTCCATAATCTTGGATATCATAAAACAATTACATCAGTGTAGAACCCAACTCCCCTAAACACTGCCTCCACGCCACCAACTCTGGCTTGCTTTATGCTCCTTATCTACTCCAGCCCACAATTGGCAAAGCAAGCTTTCAGCCACTTTTCCCCCACCCTTTGGAACTCTGTGGCTGTACAGAAATTCATACTTGTCAAGAGGCATAAGGTAAAGCAGCACCAGAATGAAGTTTTCCTCCTTCTGTCGATGAATGCATCACATAGCACAGTGGTGGGCTACAAGTGGCCCACAGGCCGTCATGGAGTGGCCCTCAGAACATTCGTACTCCAGGTGAGTCTGTTTTAAAATAATGTTTTGTTTCCAGATTTTTCTTGATTGAATATTTCTTGGCTTGGCATAAACCAAGAAATGTTCAATCAAGAAAATATATTGTGTTAGCTGACCAAAAATGTTGGCCACCGCACCACTAACATGGCATATTCCTCATCTTTCCTCAAAATATTCTAATATGAATTTATAACCCAATACACTACAGACTTTACACCATTTTCCGCAAATCATCTAATCCACAAATCAAGAATTAAATGATCAGCTGTGCAAAATCTTGTCCAATTTCCAGTAAAAATTTGAAAAAATGATTTCACATCCAAACTACAAGATTGCAACTACATTCAAAAGCCTAACAAAAGATCACATTATGGTTTGTGATTTTTGCAATCAAATCAGGAGTTGGCAAGTCTGAAAATGGGCTGCACCTCCATTAAAGCTGGAACAAAAATCAAACCTAAAGCTTTCCACAAACTGAATGAACTTAAATCGCAGGCACTTCCCAATCAGGAGCAAATTATTCATTTTAAATCCTTCCATTTCTTGGTATCCATTGATAAAAGCCCTGGTCACCTTGAATAAGTCATGTATTACTTTCTACAGTCATGGTGTGAAGACCAACTTGCTTTGGCTATCTAAGCAACGAGCCTCAAGCAGTACCTTTGACAGCAGCAAGGCACTATGCTCTACCATAGCTTCCATAAATCTGGTTGTTCTATTTTAATCATATTAAAAGAGCTTTATGTGAAATGTTTCCAATCCTGCATAAATTTCTATTATCTACTAAGATCTCTTGGGACACATGACATTACCTACAACTTATATAAGAGCAGCAAATATACATTATCACTGCTTACAGAAGATAGTTTTGACTTCATTATCTATATGAACACTACCACTAACACTGCTTCCTCATTGGTCAAGATCATTTTACTTTTTACTGGTCACCTTTCATGACACCCGCCACCTTACCTATAGTTTTCTGTAATCACATGTATGTTTTCCAAATTGTTTATATAGCACTTGTTGTGCACCATTTTAATTCATAACATTTGTTTATAATCACATTCTTGGTGTATTTAAACAACCCTGCTCTGATATTGTAACTGTAGCCAATACTAAAAAGAAACTGATTTTCACAATTCAATGATTTGAATTTGGCAACTTCACATTTAACAGCAGAACATCTGCTCTGGTGTGCCGTATATCAAGAAATATTCAATCAAGAAAAATGTATTTGGTTGGCCGACCAAAAAGGTTGGCCAACACGCTATTAATATAGACTCTTCAAACCTTTTAATAATTTTAAACTTCAATACCAGGTCCCCTTCTTTGCCAGAGAGAAAACCTCCAACCTGTCCATTCTTCCTTCAAAACTGTACTCACACATCCCTGGGAACATCCTAGCATCTCTATGCTGCACTCTCTCCAAAGCTACAATATATATCCTGTTGTATGGCAATGAAAACTGCACACTGTACTCCAAATATAGTCTAATCAAGATGTAAGATAAATTTAACATTACTTATTTTAGATCTAAATTGTTAGTGAGGAGCACAATTATTCTCAGAAGGCATTATTCAAGTACAACCAAAAAATTGAAAGCTAGGTAACTATTTTTTTATGTAGCATTTTCACTTTATACTGCTTCATTCAGACAAATTTGAGATTAAAAAAATAACTACTTCAGTTCCATAAGAATTAGATAATACCTGTAATTCTTAGAAAGAAGACATGGCTAGATGTGCATCCTGTAAATGTGTTCATAAACTACTGTGACCAGGTCTTTTACTTGACCTACATCTTTCACACCAGCTGTGCTCCCAGTGAGCTAATCTCTCAGTCATAATAATCAACTACCATACGTCTTACTGCTGGTCCTCAAACTTGTCTATATTCAGACTTTGCCTCCTCATATCACTCTTGTAATATGTAATGATCATATTGTAGTCTCCTTGATTTTACAATTCCCTGGATCTTAAATGATCCTACTGTTTTGATAGGTTTGTCTCAAAATAACCTAATGTAACAATTTTGTGACCTGGAAGCGGCAGGGGAAAAAAAACTACTTGGGGATACAAAGTGATGGCAGTTAGTTAAGTAGGACTTGAACCAGGAGAGTGCAGTACCACTAAGGTGGATAAGTGAGGAGAGGCAGTCGAGGAAGGTGGCATGAGCAACTGTGTCGAAGGCAGCGGAGAGGTCCAGGAGGACAAGGAGATAGAGGGAGCCCTGGTCACTTTGGGACGTCCTCCCGGCGTGAAAGGCACTCTACAAATTAAATGTTGTTGTTTGTTGTTGTTGGTCACACAGAGAGAAGAAACCACTACACCCCAAAACTATGGATCTTCCTGTTTCTGTGCAGAATTGTAAAATAATGTTGAACTTCTACTTTCACTTCTTCAACAGGTAGTGGGAAGCAAATTTTAACATTATGATAATTTATTCACCAGCAAACAACAAAACAAAAAAGGAAGTTTTTTTAAAGGGCTTTACAGGTTAGTTTGAGACTCATGCGTATTTTTCATGGTTTGCAATTTTAATGTCATTTTCCAGCATCGAAAGAGGTTTGCTTCTTAGTGTTTTGATAGTAACCCTCACCCCCCCCACCCCCAACAAAAAAAACAAAACTGTCACTCTATCAGGATTTGCTACAAACTCGCATTAAGCACCTTCTAAGATATACAATTTATTCTACGACTTACTTTAAGTCCTGCAAGAGATCTTTTGCATTCAGCATGGTAATTAAAGAAGTGGCAGCAGCTGGTATAATGATGATAGGCGTTCGAGAGCCTGGAAGGAAGAGAAAGGTTTTATTTTAACATTTCTAATAGCCAAAAACTTGAGGTTAAAAATGATCTCATCAAATTACAATCAAGGCCATCATTTACTCAGTCCTGAAGTTCTTTTGCAGTTGACACATTGCAAACATTTACTGTTTCATATTTAAATACAAGGGTATTTTAAAGACAATAGAATTATTACCAACATTTTATACTCCAAGCTATATTTGAAATGTTGCAGGTGTAGTGATTGTAAAATAATTTAACAGAATGAGAAGTACGTTTTCAGCACAAAATCTTACCCTTCTTTTGGTTTGGTGGTGGTCTTGCTTGTGAAACTGCTCAGGAGAAGAGCAAAGGAGAACGTATCAAAACAAGATTCACAAATGCATTTACAAATATATGGTAACAGCAAACACTGCTTGGATCAGTGATTAGTCCTTGAACATTATTTCTATTCTAGATTATTTTTTCTTCCCAACCATTTTCAAATTTACACGCCAAGCTTGTCCCAAAGCTTCTGACATGAACACTTCTCCTGTGAGATTTATAGTCTGTGCCTGGTCAAAAAGAAATCTATGAATTTATTTGTTTTTAACACTAGAAACAGTTAGAAAATTTTGTTGATTAACATTTCTTCACAATTACATCATTGTTTTCAGTTATACTGCGTAAAGAAATCATAGATATTAAGTTTAATAGATTCATTTTATGAATATTTAAAAACAGCTAAATATACATTTCTGTATTTCACTTCTAAGTTATTTAAAAAAATCTCAGTCGAATGTCCTTTTTCAGCTATGATTTACTGACAAGAAACACAGAAACTAATATCTTGCTACTGTACCATAATGATCAAACAGCAGTAAAAGGACTCACATTATAATCGTAAGCCTTAAAATCAAAAAATCCATTCAGGCCATTTGTGGAAGTTTATGAACAATACAGAAATTATGCGTTTGCATGTTGAAGAACTAGCACTAAAATCAATCGAGCAGAGAAGTGATTCACGGACACATATTTTCCACAAAGCTACCATGATTTAAATATTTTCTATGGAGTAAAAATGGAGATTGATAATACATTGAAACTAATGTGCATTACATTTCATTAACTTGACTCGACAAGACTATACAACTTGGCCATAAATCTCACTTTCTCTGCAGATCAATTGTGTGGAAATAAATAAACCATTGTAGTCCAAACTTGGTGCAGTCCTCTCAAAAGATTATTGAGAATTCATCTATGAAAACTCAGCACTTAAGTTAAGGGCACTAACTGAATGTTATTAGCCTGAGTAAATTGAAAGAATCAGAAAGGATCTACGATAGCAGGTTATGCCAGAGGTATTAAAGAGTTGCAGAAATTATTTCAGGAAGAAGGGACAAAACATTTTCTAATAGCTGTATGATTATTTTGAAGAGCTTATGCCAAGTGAATTCTGCCTCAGATTCTATAATTATTCAAAGCTCAGTTGGTGGCATTGCAGTAGTCCGTCCTGTCCCCAACCCCCCAAGACTATGTGGAGAAATGCAGCCAACTTATTTAATTGGAAGAAATGATCACATACAAAACATTTTTTTAAAAAAAACATTTGCTCTTGAAACTTCCGTAACAGTGAAACTCCATCCATCTTTATCCGTAAAACCAAACGCTACAGACATATGGTCCCATTGAATAATTTATAACAAAAGTGACATGCATGCGAAAAAAAGGCATTCCCTGAAATATCCAGAATCCCAAACTGGGTCCTTTTTTAATATATTACCTGAGAATTCACAGAATCCAGAACATTGTAAAATTAAATTATACACAATTAAGTTCCAGGTTATAACTCAGTAAAATGACTTCAGTATGCTCACTGCTGCAGCAGACAAAGAATTTTCTATATATTGTTATTGTACTTCATATCATTTTAATATTTTTGATATTGTAAAAGAGAATCCTCCAGAGGCGTTTGATGTTTCGCATCATGTTGTACCTAATATTGAGGAGCACAATTTTGTTTATCTCGGTGGGAGTGGAACATCTGCCTATATTTTGAAGTATGGTTCGGATTTTGTTTGGATTAAGTTGTACAATGATAAAATATTATAAGTGCATTAAATTAATTGCACTGCTGCTCAAACATTGGAGAGAAGTGTGAGATGGTAAGTTCTACAGTGAGGGCTGGTGAGAAGAATACTTCGATTAGGTTGGAAAAAATTAATCAGGGAAGATCATGTAATCTGTTTGCAATGAGACTCATAATTTTCTGGTTAATTTAATGTCATAAAACTGGTAACTTGAAATCAGCATGAAATCCATAGTAACTAACGTCCTCTTTATTAGTGCTGGAAGCAGTTTAGATGAAGTGCTTCCAGCAGTAATAAAGAGGACGTTAGTTACTATGGGATTTCATGCTGATTTCAAGTCACCAGTTTTATGACATTAAATTTTTCCTGCTTCAAAATCCAGGGCTGGGAAACTGGGTCACCATTTCCGACTGAGAGATAATCCTTTCACCCTTGCTGAAAAGGTCTACCCTCCATTATCCTAAGAAAATCACTCCATGACTTCTTAACAGAGGTTTGATGGGCAATAGAAAATCCATTCAAGTGAGGGATGTGACTTTTCTCTATGGTTTCCCTTAGCCATTCGAAATACACACCAATCATAATACTATTTCCTTGCAAACCATTGGATGCAGCTCTTTCTCATTCGCTTTCATTCACTCTCTCTTTTAATTTATGACAAGGATCCTCGCATGTGGGAAGCAGGCAAGGCTATATACCAAAGCCAACAGCGGGTCCACAAGGCACCCACCTTATAAGCAAACCAAAGTTCCAAAGTGCCTGAGTAATTGGACCACAAATCAGGATACAACAACCAATTAATCAAGAGAATGTCTTGATACTTTCACTATTCGAGAATGGAGGTGCCCCAGCCAACAATCTTTTAGACTAATTGGTCATTCACCCTATGGCTATTTGTGAAACCTTGATGAAGAAATGATTGCTGCATTTGCCTACAAAAATAATCACTTCACAGAAATTACCCGCAAAATGCTAAGACACATTTAACATGATTAAAAAAATGCAAGTTTCTTCATTCTGTAAAATGTTTCTGATTACTGCTCAAATATTATTTTAAAATGTTCATTCATTGCATTAAAAACCATGAGAAGTTAACAAAAATAAAGTTATTTATGGTTAAAGCTTATTAAAATAATTGCTATTGAAATTAGAAATGGATATCATAATAATAATCCTTGCATTTGATATAGCGCTTTTCACGTCAGGAGGACGTCCCAAAGTGCTGCACAGAACACACTGTAAAGTGAATTGACTGTATATATTTGTGGGCGAACGCAGCAGCCAATTGCGCACAGCAATGTCCCACAAACAGTCGTAGATTGAAAATGACCAATTTATTATTGTTTTTGGAGGGATTATTAATAGGCGTGTGGAGTAAGGAAACTTGCCCAAGGTTTCGCCCTGCCTGGAATTGAACTCAGGTCTCTCGCTTGCAAAGCAAGTGCTCTAACCACTGAGCTGCAGGACTCCACAGATCATATTTAAATGCAGGTCATCAATTTAGATTGCATCTACAGGGTGACCGAAAACCCATGACAACTATCCTGTTATCTAAAAAGAATCTGAATTTCTTTAAGACTTATTAGACATTGTAATGGTATCATGACTTTTTGGTCACCCTGTATAAGGTATCAAATGCAGTTCTATTACAATTCCATTCCATTAGTTGAGACTATCATCGATTCAGCTGAATGAGTAAATAATACTTGGGATTCTCGCATTTGGTGCACATGCATGATTTGTTTCCACTAATTAATTTTATTTTCAAATGACTCATTTTTATTCATGTATTCATCTTAACATCAAACCCTTACTAATGATTGCACTACCCTTAAAAGTGTTCCGTGTAAACTGGAACACTAGAAACCATTAGGAAAAAGCTGAAAGCAACATTGATAAAAACATCACTCTGCTATTAGCTTTAAAGATTCATGAGAAAAAGTCAAAGGTCAAAGTTGGAGCAAGAACCAAAATTGGTACATTGAAACATTGCCAAAAGCTGGTATCGTCCTTATTACTCCATAGAATGAGTACCAATTTTTATTTATAACTAGCCCTCTCTTCTTCTCCTCAATGAAAGCAAATCAGAGGAAATATCTCCTAATGGCATATTGAAAAGCCCTAGAGGCAGAAGCTTCAAAACAGATCCCAGACCCTTTGCTCGTTAACTTACACTGGAGAAAACTATTTGTTTACTAATCTATCTAAGATGAATGCAATCAAAGTACAAGTACTCAGGGTTGAAGCTTAGCAACTGTTCAATAACTATTCTACTCACAAGCCAAGCAAATTGTGCGAGCAGGGGTGCATATAAAATGTTGCAGTTCACCAACTCTTCATGCCAAAATAATGCAGCAAAGTAACTCTTTTATATGGATTGTTTGACGCCACTGGTTGAAATGTTTTTCACATCAGTTTTGCTCAGAAAAATCCCTGGTGGGACTCAACTTTTAAAAGAAAGGCACAATCTTACAGGTGCCTTTCATAAATCTGTCACCTGAAACATTCCAACTGCTGCGGAGGATTCTGCTGTAGCTGTTCTGGATGGTTCACATACCAATTTCACATGGTGAATCTGATCAGAAGTTCTCATTACTTAAGATGTGTTGACACAGAGCCTTTTGCTTTTTTTTTTGAAGGAACTGATGACCTTACCCACATTGGGGATTTACTACACTTGATCTGTAGATGGACCATCGGAGGATGCTACAGGGTTTGAAAATTATGGTTATGAGTGTATAACCTTCACCCACCACCGTACTTTTTTTTGGAAAGATGTCAAGAAAAAGGAATGAAATCCAAAATCCATAGAGTCTATGAAATGAGGATGCCTCTACTAATTCTAAAATGGAAAGTTTACTGATTCTTAGATTTTCCCATAAACAGTCCCAGCTTTGCAGTTATGCAGATATGAAAAGAGAATTAAAATACATCCCGAGGTGAAGAAGAGCTGAGGAACCATTTCATCTTGCTCATGACCCTAGTGATCAAGCTTTGCCTCGCCCACCCCAACAAAAGATCCATCCCAGGGTTCTATAAAAAGCTTCAAAGGTGATTGACAAGGGCAAGGTCAGCCAGGATTAATGCAACACCTGAATCTGCTAGTATCAAACTGAAAGATGGCTAGTAGCCATCTGCACAACACTATGCTTTATGCTGTGAAAGACTTGCTAGGTTAGAAGGATCTGAAGGTCGATTCATGGGTTAAGGACTTTTCTTTCAAGAGAGGTTTTGTTAGACAGTTCTTTTCATTGTGCAATGGT